GCATGGGGTGCCTCCAGAGCGGGGAATCTGCCCAAAGCACAGCGCCAGCAGTCACCCCTGACGTCCCCTCCCACCCTCACCCCGTCCTGTTTTGACCCTCTGCAAGTGGCCTCCTAACTGGCTGGATCCTGCACCCAAGTACTGCCACCCCGGGGGTGGGGGGGGGGGCAGAGCCGGGGCTCAGCGGGTGAGACACCAGAGGTGGGCCTGGGCTCTGCTCCACTTTACCTTGAAGAGCTTGAGCGCCTCAGTCTGCAGGGCCTCGGAGGGCAGGGTGGTGAGGGAGGCGCACAGCCCGTCTTTGCTGTAGCACAGCATGGGGTGCCTCCAGAGCGGGGAATCTGCCCAAAGCACAGCGCCAGCAGTCACCCCTGACGTCCCCTCCCACCCTCACCCCGTCCTGTTTTGAGGGGAAGGCTTGGATTGTGCTTGTGATACGCAAACATTATCATAATAAATGTTCTAACCACAATCCTATTCCTAGGAGCATTTCACAGTGGGGTGCCCTTGTGGAGTGTGGGGTACGTGGCTGTGCCCTAGATGGACAGAGGGGTCATGCTGGGTTTCCTTTCCCAGAGTGCAGGGAATGTGGCTGTGCGCGCAGGCAGCCCGCGGCCCGCTCACATCACAGGCGAGGCTGACAGGTTACGCCTGGGCTCGTGGGTGGTGACAGCAGTGAGCGTGCAGGTGCTGGGCACCTGAGAGCATGTGCATGTGTGGGGGAGGTCTGGCAGGGGGGCGCATACATTGGCCTGAAATTAATAAGCCTCAGGCATAAAGAGGTGTATGTGGTGTGTGCCATTAGTTCGTCTGGATCCTGCAATCGGTTGCAAAATAAAGACCTCCCCAGATATCTACCCGGGCTCCGTGTAGTCTGAGCTCAATTTAGGATTCTTACTGATGGACTCTGACTACAGAGTGACCGGCCACCTTCTTTCCTCAGCGCTCTGCCCAGCTAGCAAAGCTGCGGGTCGGGCAAAGTAAAATGCTGAGCCAGGTCACTGGAAACCGCTGCCCAGGTAAACTCCCCCAGACACAGGGTGTTCACCTCTATCTTCACCAGAGCCAGGGCGAGGGAGTCTGTGACTTACGCAGCCACAAGGCAGCTTCACGGTATACTGTGCTTTCTCTGGGCTACTGACCAACAATTATGGTCAAAACCCTCCAACCCAAGCAGCGATGCCACCCGGCCGTACCTGGGTCTCCTTCACCATCCATCAGTTTTCCAATGAGCTGCTCATAGGCAGTGCCCACCTGGGCGCTGCTGTCACCTGCAGCCACTGTGAGGTGGTAAAGCCACGTATCCTGGAAGAGGATGGAATGCCACCAGATGGAGCCTGGGCTGCGCGGGGAAGCGTGGAGGCAAGAGGAGCCCAAGGGGGCCTCCTTAAAGGGCCACACCTGGTGTGGGACGCAGCTGTTGGCTGGCACAAGTTAAGGCCACTGGCCTTTAAGCAGGAAGGCTCAGGAGCAGGTGAGCATGAATCCAGGTTTCTAAGCCTGCAGTTCTATCTCATGACGCCCATGAGGAGATTGGTGGCTGGACACAGACTGACAAGGAATACTGCCATGCAGGGAAGACTAGTTGCTATAATGTCCAGGAGGGAACAAACCTGAATTTAGGAAGGGGAATGGTTCTTTACCTTTTCATGCTTGGTGCCGATGAGGAGGTAGGTGGGGCTATGCTCCGGGGGGTGGATCACCAGGGTGCAGTGTGAAGACAGCAACCGCCCCGGCCCTGCCGCCTCATAGTCCTCGTCCGAGTCACAGGATCGATCTACTTCCTCTACACGAGCGTCCCGCACAGGCAGGCGGCCTAGGGGTCGCTGTGGACGTGAGACTTCCATGAAGGGGATGGGGGAGGGGGAGCCCCCACTATCTGAGCCCTCAGGCCCTGGAGGCTGGGAACTGGATGTTGGATGGATGTTGTCAGATGGCAGGACAGGGAGGGAGAGAGTCTGGCTCCCAGCAGAGCCTTGCCTGGAGAAGCACAGATCCATCTCACAGGCAGAATCTGTGGGCCATGCACACTGGCCACGCAGACTGGCTCCCGCCCACTGGTTTTGAAGCTGTGGGGTAAGGTGGGGTAGTAGGTAAAACGGGAACCTTCTATCAGAATGCCGAGCCACGGGAATGTGGTTTGGGAAAAGCAGAGCGTGGGGATCAGGAAGCACCTTGTCCTCATGGCTCCGATAGTAGTAGAAGGTTCTCCCAATGAGAGCACACCAGACCAGCTTGGAGTGGCCATGCTTTACCTGTAAGAAACGAACCAGCATTATCAGAACGAGGTGACCCCGTAAGCGAATCCAGGACTGGCCAAGAGAAACCACAGAGAGACAGCATTCTCTGTCAACCCCGACCAAAGCAGGTCTGAGTGGAGACCACCACCCGGACACCCAACTCACGAGGCCTGCCCTTCCACGTCACAGGCCACGTATGCCACGTGACGCTCCACAGGTCCTCGGACAAACATCTCACCCAGGAATATCAACACGGCAGCCTGCTGGCTGGCAGAGGCTAGAGTGTAAGGAGGCCGAGTGGGGGTACAGCCATGGTGACCAGGCCCTGGGCAGGCGGGAAGCCTGAGGGAACAGCTGCTGCTCAGGAGAGGAGAGCCAGAGGAACACATGGAGGCGGAGTCGAGAGCATGGAGCTTCCTCGAGCTTTGCTGGTGGTGTTCGGATCTCCTTGCTAATGTCCTTTTCCGGGGCTCGACAAGTGCTTCTTGCTCCCAGAAGAGCCCTAACTAAAATGTCTGTAGGGCAAACCTGGGGCGTGGTTAGTGTTCAAATGGTCCTTGCCTAGGTCACCATTCATACGCGGGGTGGTGGATACAGGAAGGGATGGGGAGCATCTCCAGATGACCACAAAGTGGGCACAAGACATTCCTTTCCCTCCTGTCTTGAGGACAGTTGTTCTAACAACCCTGACCCGTTTCCGGAGACTCATATCACTGGAGCAGCCAGACTGTGAGCTCACCAGCCATTCACCCAGGAAATCCCCGAGAAAGGCACTGCGGATCGGATCAAGAGGGGCCGTGGGCCCTGGCTCCTGGCACGCTGGCACCCTGTCCCTTGGGGGACCTCACTCCTCTCTCACTCTCCCCAACCGCACCTTGGTGAGCCAGCCCTTCACAGTGGGCTTGGTGCCCCGCTGAGGCAGGGCCGGAGGCCCAATGGCCTGGACCTTCAGCAGGCTCTGTAGCACTCGGATCCACTCCTCCAGCAGGCTGGGTGAGTCCGCGGTCAGGTAGTAGGTTTTCTTCTCAGAGATGAGCTGTGGAGAGGAGTGAGGGAGCCGGGAGGAAGATGAAGACGCAGGGACCTGGCTGCGAGGCTGTAAGGAACCCCAGCCCCTGAACCTTACTCCCCCCACCCTGGGCTCCCTCCCTCCCATCTCTGGTGCTTTGCTCCCTGTGTCCCTTTATTCCCTCTGTCACAGTCTAGCTCCTGTTCCTATCTTGTACTCACAAATTAGGGTCACACCCAACGGCCATGTGATGTTTCCCTGCATGCTCATGTTGCCCTACCTTTGTTTCTGTCCTAGTCTGGTCCAAACCCGGCCACCCCTTCTGTCTAAAAAACAGCTGCGAGGAGCACCTGCTCACCTGGAATGTCTGGGCGCCCTCCGCTCGAACAATGTGGCACCGGGAGTTTAATTCTACTTGACCTTGAGGTTTCCGGATGACATCACTCTGGACAGAAAGGCATGGGGAGGTCAGTGGGGCAGGACACATCATTTATGCTCATGTCTCACTCCAGCCCACAGCCGGAGGGGAAGCAAGTCCTAAGCTTTCCTGGGCCCAGCAGCTGGGCAACTTGCTCTGAATCCCAGTCCTGGCTAAACAGGGCAAAGATGAGACCTGGGTCCTGCTCCCTAGGCCTCTACAAAACATGTTTTGAATCTCTGAAATTAGGTTAGAAACCTGTCAATTCTTTCTACTACATCCTTTATCCCAAGTGTGGCAAGTAAGTGGCATCTATGCCACTGTGGCCCTTTCCAGCGCCAGGGCCCAGCACAGCGCAGACCTCACTGATCAACCAGAGCAGCCTGCTCTTGAGGAACGTGGGTCAGAGTCCTTATCATGAAGCTGGAGACAGCTGCTGCGGGCCAGCTGGACTGCACAAGAGACAAGGCCTTCTTGTCCTCTCTAAAATATTAACATGGTTCTCCAGTCATGTCCTGGGATCATGTCAAATAGGTCCACCCTCAGGGCTCACTAATTCCAAATAAAGCAGGAAGGAGGTGGAGAAGGTAATGGGCTTGCCTGTCAGAACAATCCAGACAGTGTGAGGGCAGCCTGGAGACAATTCTTTTACTTTTATGGGACATAGAGGCTTAAGAAAAAATTGGCTTCAATCACCAAGCCAATTGTCTAGAATGGCCTCTGACGCCTCAGGGCCTGGTCGCTTGAGAACCAGTGGCTAGCCAGCTGATGGGCCCTGTGCTGTGCAGCTCAAAGCCTTGAGTGCCCAGCCAGCTGCCTCCCCACAGCCAGGTCTTTGCCTTCTGGCCTCTACTGCTTTTTGAATCCCTCTCACGAAGTTCTGGGCCTGGGGGAGGGTCATCCTGACTACCATTAGGGGCTAGGGGCCTTACCGGGGACTTGTAGTACATAATCTGCCCCTGCCTCAGGACAAACCAGCGCCTCTTCCAGGTCTTCACCCGGCTCCCCATTTTCAGCAGGTAGCCAGACTTCTCTAGTAACTCCTGCAGGGGTGCAAGGGCACCAGGAAAGAACAGGAAAGTCACTCAGGGTTCCTGGATGTCACAGGCCAAAATAGGCCCCTGGGTCACTGCTGTTTTGTCATCCATTACAAAATACAGTCGAACACCAATATGTATGCTTCCAGGACACTGGGCCCTGCTACATGTTTGGAGAGGGCTAGATAAAGTGTGGAGGCCCTCTGTAGAAGGAACAGGCTGGTTGGGTATAACACCTGGCCTGAGAAGACAGTTGATGGGGGGGACACAGGAGAGAGCAGTGTGGAGGGACGCAGGGAGAGCTGGACCAGGGTGGACCTTGGAACAAAAGAGCAGTCTTTCCTCAAAGACAAGCTGAGATGAGGAGGAGGCTACTGGAGGCAGCAGGGAGGGGAGAGAGAGGTTTGGGGAACAGCAGATACACCTGCCAGGCTGGAGTGGAGGGTTCATAAGGTGGGGAGATGGAGTCGGCAGCCTAGCGGTGTGGAGCAACGGCTAGGGAATGCGGAGGTTGGGACTTATGCTGGCCGTGGCGTGTGATAGGTGTCTCTGAGTCTCACTCTTGTCATCCATAAAATGGGATCATAATCCTGACAGGACTATGAGGACAAATGAGACTGTACACACGAATTCCTCAGCACAGTGCTGGCACTCTAGCTGTCCTCAGACGTGAGCTCTTTGCAGTCCAGCACCAGCAAGGAGCTAAATAGGTGAGCACATGAAACACTCCTCCTGGGGCCAGGTGGGCCTCGGCAGGCTCAAACTGCTACCCCCGACAGGATGAAGAGTCATAGCCTCACTGCTGTGAGGACAGTGTCTGGGCCTCCTGTCTGGGGCAGCCCCTTCACCAAGGCCAGCCTCCCTCGTCTCTCACAGTGGCTGCCTATGTCTTGCGTGAAGGGTCTGCTCCCCGCCGCCGCCCACTATCCCCCACCCCCTGTCCCTCTGGGGTGTGGGGCCATGTGACCAGCTCACCCCGCTCAGGCCCAGACCGTCGGTAGAGTAGGTGGAGGTTCGCTGTAGTTTGTGTTCAGGCTCAGAGTAGTCGCTGTCCAGTGAGCAGGCATCCGGGGGGATGGCGTAGTCACCTTCAGAACTCAGTGAGGACATGGAGACTCCTGGCCAAGGGAGGAGGAGCCAAGGCCTGCAGCCACCTGCACAGCCCAGCAGCTCACGGCCAGGGACCCGAGTGAGGGGCTGAGGGCTCAGGGACAGAAGCAGGGTTGAGGATGGCAGGAGGGGGTCTAGTGTGGCCTCCCTCCCGGCCTGCTCCCTCACAGCTCCCTACCTCTCTTAATGGCCCGCGGGCTGCTCAGGCCGCTGGTCTTCCTAGACTCAGAGCAGGGGAAACTCGCCTGAGAGCTGCAGTCGTCGTCAGACCCGGAGGACTCATCCACAAAGGGCACACTGCTGATCTGCATGGCTCTCTGCAAGGAAGACCCTTCCCACTGTGCGTGGCTGCAGGCAGCTCAGGTGTGGCCTACACAGCCTATCTGGGGCACATGGGGGCCGGCCCCTGACCAGGCAACCAACAGACACCTGCTCCTTCCTGACCTCACTCCTGTGTCCTCCCTGCTTCTCCTTGGGCCTCCCCCCTCACACCATCCTCTGCACCCCCCAAAGGAGCTGCCCATCCAGGCTAGACAACAGGCCTCTGTGCCCTCACTCCTGGCCACTAGGGGGCCAGAATGCCACACCAGGGGACAAGGTGAGAAAAGAGCTTTAAAAATGTGTGTAGTGGTGGGTATGCAAACTGGTACAACCACTATAGAAAACTGTTTGGAGGTTCCTCAAACTGCTAAAATTGTGTGGGGAAGCATGAAGGGAAAGATGACTGGCAAGCATCGAAGTCACTAATTGTCTCAGTACTGGTGGAAGTGTGGGGTAAGGGATACGATAAAGTCTTTTGAGAAGATAATTTGGATCTCATATTAGTCAGAATTTAAAACATGCATACAGTTGCCTATAAAATCCACCTCTAGAACTGTCCCACAAAAACATGTACAAATAAGCACACTATGATATGTCTGCACAATGATGTCTGTCATAGCACTTACTTTAAGGGAAAAGTAGAGCCAAGACCTAAGTGATTGATCAATAGACAAGTTAGGTCAGTTATGGGGCATCAATACCAAGGGGCAGAGCCCCAAGGGGAGGCAGAGCTGATGAGCTCTGCTGATGGGTGTGGCAGGGAGATAGGACACATGACTGATAAGCCAGCAGCAGAATCTGATCCTGTGTGTGTGTGAGAGAGAAAGAGACAGAGACAGAGAGAAAGTAAGGGTCCCAGAGGATTTCTGTAAACACATTTGTAAGTGCTTTATAGGGTCTCACATAATAAACACCGAGCCAGCAGCTCCCGTCTGATGCAAGACTGCCCAACTGTGTCAATACAGTGTTCCTTCTCACAGACCTGTCCCTTTCCTTCAGGGGCACACTTACCTCTAGGGTTAGGAGTCTGGGAGAGAAATATGAGAAAAAAAATTTACCTTTGGCTTTGCATTCTTCTATAGATTCAATATCCCTTGGTACTGATGTGCCATAACTGACCTAACCTGTCTATTGATTGATCACTTAGCTCTTAGGTCAAATACAGATACTTAGGTCAGTATTACTATTATCTCAGAAAGCAGTAAAAATGTATATGAAAATATCTTGTTGCAGTTATATCTGACTTCTGTTAAAAAATATGTAGAGATATTTTGAGTCTTTAGGGGAACATACTGAAGACGTAAGAAATCCTAGAAGGAGCCTCACTGCCCTCTGAGACAGACATGTGGGAAGATGGGACAGGAGGTGGATTCAGCAGGTTAATCTTTAACTTCCTACTTGGCCCACAATCATACTGATTAAAACTTTTGGAAATGTAGAATTTTTATAATAAAAATCTAATAAACAGTAGAATGGCATGTGGAGGAGGGGGCTGAAGTCCCAGAAGCCTTGCCCCAAACCCCTCTCCAGCCACTGCATGCTGAGGGGCCTCTGGATGGGGGAGGCAGCAGGTTCTTACCCCCTTCAGGGCTGTGTAGACCGGCACAGTGACATTCTTGTAGATGAGGCTGGAGAAGGGCCCAGGGGATGCGAGGGCAGGAGGGCTTGAAGCTGCGAGGGGCGGGGGGAGAGAAAAAGAATGAGACTAACTCAGGTGGCATAACCGGGTGTAGGGAGTGGGAAGGCAGAGAGCTGGGCAGAGTGAGAGGAGCTCCCTAGAGACAGTTCCCGGCAAAGGCCCCTGGAAGACAGACAGGTGGCAGATCTCAGGATGGGGCGGCCACCTTCAAGCCCATCACTGTGGGGGTCTTGTGCTGGACTGTGACTTCAGGGAAAGCACTTCTTGGGTGGCTTCCTCCTCCCACCCCAGCCCTGCTGTGAAACCAGGGCAGGCGGGGGGCGGGCTGAAGAGTCCACCTCGAGTTCCAGCTTTGCACCTGCTACAGCACTGTCCACTTGCATCCCGCCCCGCAGGCGACACTGAACCTGGACTGCTTCCTTTTCCCTTGCTGTGAGGTTTCACCTGTAGCTTGCAGGTGAAGGAAGGGGGCGGAGGGCGCTGCTCAGACAAGGCCTCGCCGCTCGCCCATCCTGTCCTCTGAGGGTGTGCCCAGGACTCACCACAGCCCGTGGCATGACTTCTGGGAGACACGTCTGACAGCCGCATGCCTGACGTGGCCACAGCGTAGATCCGGCTTTCCTGGAATGAGAGTTCCGAGAAGAGTCAGGGCCCAGGACTGGGCTCATCTTGACAACCTCTGAGGTGCGGAGCAGAAAGTTCAGCTTTGGAGATGGGCAGACGTGGGGCCACACCCAGGTTTGGCAGTGACTGTGGAGTTATACCATTTCTAGGCCTCATTTTCCTTGGCGCTAAAATGGGGGTAAGAGTCTTAGCTCTCAGGCTGTTGTGAGATTCAAAGTGGAATCATTTATGTAAAATCTAATGCCTGGAATATAATCAGAACTCTCTGCCATCCAGCCTTTGGGATGGGAAGTTCAGGTGGAGAGGGATGTATGAGCTGATTTCCCTGATTCTTGCCCACTCCAGAGTCCTGGGGTCTCATAACGAAGATGTCAGCCACGTGGAGTGTGCCATGTGCCAGTTCTCTGGAAGCTGGGACACAATTTTTCCCTCCACTAATAAGATTTCATCTTGGCTAGGTTTCAGGGTCAAGCTACAAAGCCTGTTTAGCTCACCAGGCCCCAGGATCCAAAAAGGGGAACTCCTTTTTCTAGATTCTTCCCCCAGCCCTCAGGTTGACCATGGAGCCTTTTCTAAAGGTTTTGATCTCACAAACAACCCAGGAGGCTGGCCTAGCATTTCCATATCTCTCTTTTGCACTCAAGATAGAGGGAAAACAAAGATTTCCACCCCACCCCACCCCACCCCAGCTTAGTCTCTAGGACTGTGTATAGGTCAGCCTGGCTCAGGGAGGCAGCTCACCAGCCAGCAGCCAGGCTGACTGGTCCTGGCAGACTTCTTGGCCAAGTCCTTCCCTCCCTCCACCCCCAGTCCCCAGACTTGGCAGTGTCACACCTGTCCCCTCTGGCAATCAGCAGCTGCTCAGCCACCAGTGTTAAGGGTGTGGCCCAACTCTAGGGCCATGGGGCTTTCCAACTGGTAGGGGACAGGGAGGAAGAGAAGGACACCATACCTACTCTAGGAGTCTGCACACACACATAGCATAGGCCACATGCAAACACCATGTGATTAATCTTGGTGCCTTCCTAGTGGTGCAGGGGTTAAGCCTTGGCATTGTGAAGCTATCTGCAGCCACTGCAGCATGAGTTACAACTGGGGCCAGAGAGCTGACCCACATGGCACAGCAGACTTCTCTTGCCTTGCTCACTGCTCCCCTCGCAGGGTATTTCAGTCAATCTGCCTGTTCTGCTCCCCACTCAGTCTCTGGTGAGCCCTCTCACCTCCCTGCACCCCAGTTCTTGCATGCATGTATAAATAAATCTTTTTAAAAAAATTGATTCTTTGAACTGAAACTCTTGTTTTGAACTGGGAGTTCTGCCCAGTGATGCCTGAAGAAGTGTTGGACACTGATGCCATTAGGAGAACAAAGGTGTTTTCCCAGGCCTTTAAAGGAAAACTGGCTGTACGTGTGTCAGGAAGACTAAGGAGGTGACAACAACTGGGACGTGAGGAGCTGAGGGAACTGGCTGTGGTGGTCTGAGAGGCGGGAGGTTCGCTCGCGATTACCTGTCTTTGTTTAGTTCCCTGCAAAACAGACCAGCTTGAGATGAAAGGTTAGAAGGGGCTTTCATGGTGAAAACACGCCTGTTCTCTCAGATAGCTGGCTTTCTGATGACGATAAAGTGGGTGTTACAGATTCAATTCCTGTATCTGTTCGACGGTGTGCCAACAGCAACAGGCGGCCTGACCCTGGCATTTTCTGATTCTACAACTACTTTGCACTTCAGAGGACACCCTTCAAAGGTGTTGCTGAAAAGAAGGGTCTTCAAGGCAGTGCCGTGGGTGGTGCTACTTTATGTGAACCCCCTCCTGAGTACCCCAACCCCTCTGTTGCCAGGAGCCAGACAGTCGACACTCACAGGCCTGCCTCACACCACAATGGCAGCTGAGGTCTGACCATGGGAACAAGGCTGACATCTGCTCTGCCATGTCCCTAAGAGGTGAGAGCTGGCTCAGCAAGTAGTCAGGCCTCGACGTACAACGTAGGGTAGCCATTACAAGTCCTCAGGCAAGTAACTAAGCAGTTTCCTCACCGGTCTGAGGGTTCCACCACCTAACCCGCACAGGTAGAGTCCTGCCCACCTGCTAGCACCTGACACCCATCATCTCGTCTCATGTCACCACTCACATTCCATTTTTATTTTTAACTTTTTAATCATGGAAAATGTCTGACACAGAAGTTGAGAGAACCATGTAAAGAATCACCTCAGGTACCCATGCCCCACCTCCACAAAATAAATGCCTGACAGTCTTGCATCAATACCCCCCACACCAGGGCACGGTTCTGAGACAGACCACAGACACTGTGCCATCCAGTGTCACCACGCCAAGGCTCAGAAATAATAAAAATAGCCAGTACTTCAGTACCTTTTAACGTGAATCCTTAGTGCAAGTGCTTATTACACATTAACACATTGAGTCCTCATCAAAACCCTGTAAAGGAAGTATCATTATTCCCCTTTCACAGATACGAAGTTGAGGTAAGGTATGTGTGTGGGGGTTAGTACCTGGTCCTGAGTCACACAGTTAGCATTACCACCCTGGGGGTTGGCTCTGGGACCGGAGCTCTTAACCACACACCACACCACCTCAGAGTTTAATCAGATTGAAGGTAAAAATGTCTACCAGCTCAGTGCTTGGCAAATGGCAGCGCTCCGTGAGCATACTAAACCCTGGCTGTGCTCCTCGCGGTTGGATGGTCTGGGCAGGGTGGCGGCACCCAGAGCTGCTCTGAGGATGCCCTGTGCCCAGCCAGTGCAGGTTTCACACCCCAGCTCTGCCCCGCTGCTCAGCCTCTTACCCAAGATGGGAACCGGTGCAGGGGGGGTGTGGGTGGTTTGTTCCCAGAGTCCCCTTCCTCCAGCTCAGCTCCAGGGGCCTTTGAGCTTGCACCTTCCTTCTCCTTCCCTCCTTCTCCTGGTTGTTCCTCCATCTCCATCTTCTCTGGTTCTTCCAGAGGCTCAGCATGGGACTGCACCTCAGGAAGGCCGGAGGGGTGGAGGGCTGACAGGGTCCCGATGTCAATGCTCACCACATGGTGGAAGTGCCCAGGGCGGGCCTGTGGCTGGCTGTAGTGCCTCTTGGGCAGCTGGAGGCTGTCCCTCGGGGTGCCAGGAGCCCGCACCTTTGGTAGCGTCAGACTGCTGCCGGGACCACCTTCTCTGACAGCGATCTTTGCCCCAGGGAAGGTCCCTCCCTGAGCAATGGCCAGGCCCTCACCCCAGGAAGCTGAACCACGTCTTGGAGTGCGAGGTTTCACGCACAACTGGTGAGGAAGGCCCTGTCTTCCGGGAAGAACTGGAAGGGTCTTGGCCTCTGGCATTTCCCTGGGGTGGACCATGCTGGAACAAGAATCCGCCAAGGGGCTTTCTGCTTTAGGAACAGGGTCCTTGCTCTGTGCTGTACCTGGAGAAGGTGCAGGGAGAAGCGGCTTCAGGGCACCCTGGACCTGAGGGCCACTGTTCTGACCTGCTGGTTGGGTTCCTGGCCCTGAAAGGATAGAATCCTGTTCTGGGGCTCCCTGGGGTTTCACCAGTAGCTTCCCTGAAGGTGCCACCTGAAGAGCTATGGTTGGGTCAAAGATAGGATTAGTGAGAGCACCCTAAAGTCAGACACACACACACACACACACACCAGGATTAGTGAGAGCACCCTGAAGTCAGATACACACACCAGGATTAGTGAGAGCACCCTAAAGTCAGACACACA